AGGGGTCGGTCCTGGGGCTGGTTTTGTTCAATGTTTTCATCAATGACCTGGAAGATGGCATAGAGTGCACCCTCAGCAAGTTTGCAGATGACACCAAGCTGGGGGGAGTAATAGATATGCTGGTGGATAGAGCTAGGATTCAGAGTGACCAAGACAAATTGGAGAACTGGCCAAAAGGAATCTCATGAGGTTCAACAAGGACAAGTGCAAAGTCCTGACTTAGGATGGAACAATCCCATCCTACAGGGATGATTGGCTGGGCAGCATCTCTGCAGAAAAGGACCTGGGGGTTACAGTGTGCCAAGAAGACTAACAGCCTACTGGTCTGCATTGGTAGGTGTGTTGCCAATAGATCAAGGGAAGTGATTATTCCCCTCTATTCAGGAGTGGTGAGGCCACATCTGGAGTACTGTATTCAGTTTTGGGCCCCCCACTACAGAAAGGATGTGGACAAATTGGTAACAGTCCAATGGAGGGCAACATAAATGGTGAGGGGGCCGGGGGGACATGACTTACGAGGAAAGACTGAGGGAACTGGCCTTATTTAGTCTGTAGAAGGGAATACTGAGAGGGGATTTAATAGCAGCCTTCAACTACCTGAAGAGAGGTTTGAAAGAGGATGGAGCAAGACTGTTCTCAGTGGTGGAAGATGACAGAACAAGGAGCAGTGGTGTCAAGTTACAACAAGGGAAGTTTAGGTTAGCTATTAGGAAGAATTTTCTCACTAGAGGGTAGTAAAACACTGGAGCAGGTTACCCAGAGAGGTGGTGGAAGCTCCATCCTTGGAGGTTTTCAAAACCAAACTAGACAAAGCTTTGGCCTGGATGATCTAATTGGGGATGGTCCTGCTTTCAACAGCGGGTTGAACTAGATGACCTCCTAAGGTCCCTTCCAACCCTCACTTTCTATGATTCTAAGGGCCAGAAATGTTTTGTTATGCTGTCCTCAACTAACAGCATGATTGCAGAAGCTGTTAAACCTCATAGCACATGTCAAAATTATGGACAAATCAAGCCAAAAAGTCCACATTGAGGCCACTGGATGAATTAGTTCCCTGGAGCAAAGCAGGCGTAGATTTGTTTATGTTGTCTAAAAAAAACATCATTCTAGATGATTATTCACTTCCGTGAGAAATCCATACCGGAAGATACAGCAGTTGAACTGGCAATCCTAAGCATCACATTTGTTTTAGCTAGACATGTAGGTCTGACAGTGGGACACATCTTAGTGGACATGAGTTTACAGTGAATTCAGGGTTACTGCGGTCCCAATTCAGACAGAAAACAGTGTTAAAATAACAAAGTACCTTTTTCAGCAAACCCTGTTCCCCATCCGCATTGCTAGATGCCAGAATGGCACCCATGCAGGGCAGGTTGTCACTTGCTGCTCCTCTGAAACCCAGGATGTTTACATTGTGCAGTGCTGGTAAGAGACAAATAAGGCAAAGTACAAATGTGATTAGGGAGTTCTGGGCTTTGTCAACACTGTTTAAACTCCCCCCCAATAGACTCAGTAACAAATCACAGTGGTGTTACAGGAATCAGTCTATGGATATAGGAGGCTGTCACCCCAAATGGATATATTGCCATTAGGGTGGCCAGAATGAGGCGGTCCTTCATGGTTCTAGAAGGGAGGGAAACAAGGGGAGCTGAGATGGCCCTGTTGTTGCAGACAACCTCAGAGAGCGTGGACATGCAGTCACACTTAGCCTGATTTAAGCCTGAAGTGGGCAGGCATACAAGCCTTTAAAACCTGTTTAAAGCCTCTTGGAACAGTTCAAAACTGTCCCAGGAAAATCAAACAGTGTTTTGAACCAGTTCACTGTTATACGTAGACAGCAAATGTTCTGTGGCACATGTTTGGTCAGTCCTCCAGCCAGTTTGGGCTAAGGCTAGCCCGCTCACCCTGCAAAGCATCCTGGGATGCTGAGGGACTGTGAATTAACTTGAATCTGGAGGGGATTTGGGACAGAAGTTCAATAAACCAATTTAACCTAAATCAGTCAGGTCTGATACTACAGCCATCCAGGTTTATATTGCACCAGTTTCAGCCATTTTGAAAGTGTTTTATGCACACTGAATTTCTCTTGTGTTACAGATTTAAACCAGTTTCCAATCACTTATATTGGTTTATGTGTAATTTATGTCCTTAGCACTGGAAACTGTTCAGATGTTACATGTGTCTGCATCCACATTGAGCAACCACAGCAGGTCGAGATACCCGAGCCCTAGAATATGCCACAACTAAAACTAATGGGGTGACCCCTACCCAGGATTTGTGATGTTAGTATATCTGGAGAGACCCACAGAGTCATGTGACAGTACAGGACACCTGACCTGGTATGGACAGAAATAACCCTTAGACCAGCTTAAATGTAGTAAACTTGAAGCAGACAGACATAAGCCTGTTAAACTGGTTTAAACCTGCCTGGAAAAGCTAGGAACAGAAGTTACACATAAACCAGTTTAAATGATCAGAAACTGGTTTAAACCAGTAATAGAACAGAAGCTCAGTGCACATAAACCACTTTAAAATGACCAAAACTGGTTTAAGATAAACCTGGTTGGATGTAGTATCAGACTTAACTGATTTATGTCAACCCATTTTATGGGACATCTATCCCAGATCCCTTTCTGGATCAAGTTAACTCCATCTCCCAAGATGCTTTGCAGCCCTCAGCTATGCTGCCTGTTCCAGTGGAGCAGGGACTGCCTTACCTCTCTGCTCCTTAGCTTGCTTCCTGTCTGTGTCCATTAGCCCCTGGGCTATCCCTGAGACTGGCAGCAACTAAGGCAAGGGGCTGGAGTTGGGGATGGTAAGAGTTCCCCTCAGCTCCCTCAGGCTGCCTGGGCTGTGGCAGGGGGAAGCCCATGTACTCTGCAGCTGGTTTGCTGTTACACATGGACACGAGGGGCTCTGTGACAAACGAGGCTGGTCAGTCCTTGAGGAGGCATCATCACTCCTGTCCATCCCACCACTGCTGTAGCTGACCACGCTGGTCCATGGCCAGAACTCTACAGTCCCATTTTTTTTTCTTTTGTTGACCCTTTTTATCCCTTGCACTGCTTGGTCAATAGAAACTCTTTTTCTAGCAGCCAGCTATACCCTCCCTCCCTACTCGACCATGCTTCCTCACTATGCCCCCTGTCTTTCCTCTCCAGCTTCTGGGCACCCAAAAACATGTGTCAAAGCACACCCTCCCTCCTGGGCACCCCCAAGTCAGGCAAAGTTGCTGTAGACTTTAGTCAGTGGCAGGCTACTGAACTTTACTGAACTCTTGTTTAGGAGAGAAAGAAAAGCAGAGAAGTGAAAATGCCCTCAGCCGCAGGTCTCCCAGCCCCTGGAACGACCACATGTGGGTGCCAGCACCCCCGCTCCCCCCACTGTCCCTCTGCAAAGTGTGCTGGGCTGGGATCTCGCTCCCACGCCCCTGGGGACAGAGCCATAGCACCTCAAAGGTGGCTGTTCCACCTCAATGGTAGGGAGCTGTACATGTGGACACTTCTGCCCTGTGACAGCTGTGACCTGGTTCTCAATCAGCGCCACTCTGGAATGAGCCTGACTGGCTGGAGTTGAGCAGTTGGGTGTATATACTAGGTGTGGGAGGAGGGTGTGGGAACCGTACCTTTAAGAGGCTCTCACATGGGTAGCAAGGACCAGTTGAATACAGGCTTCAGCTTAAAAGAAGTTGCTGATAAGTTGGACTTTTGACACCAACTGAGGCAGGTCTTGTCAGACTCCTTGTCCCTGAGGGATTACTGGACAGTGCAGATGGGAGCCCAGGGCTTAGAGCTACCAGCGCTGTTAAATCTCTGAAGTGTGTCCACCTTGGCGTTTTACCAGCAGCTGCCTTTCTGCTGGGAGCTTCTTCAGGTGGTTTCCCAATTCGTCTTAAGTCTGTGTATGGACTTGCATAGCCATGGCGATAAAAGGGAAATTCTGTGGACTGAGCAGGGTAATTTGCCAGGCTGGAGTGGAAAACATGCCTGTGAGAGAGATCAAGCTGCACTTTACTGTACACTGATTTCAGTGGCAGCAGTCAAGCCCCTAGGCCACTGTTGGCAGGATCAGTGCCTACGTAGACTTAGGATGGGGGCTGCCTCTGGAGACAGTGAGCAAGAACAGAAGTGTGTAGAGCCCTGGACACTAAAGGCTTTTCCTTCAATATGTTCCAGCAACAAATAGGTTAATTGCCCACTCTCAAAGAAAATGAAAATGTTTTCAAAGAAATGCAGTAAGTGCTGGTGGTTCCCCCTCCATGTTTTGCTTTGAGGGGATGGGAGGAAGGAAGTGTGTAGGGGGAAGGGGAGAGAATGAGAGCCACTAACTTAAAACGGACTCAGGGTAAATCACTAATCTGTATCTGGCCAGCGCTCAGGCAGACGGCCCCTAGAGCTAAGAACTCCCTGCTGGAGGAGCCGCCCTCGGGTGAGGAAGAAGAGTCCTAAACCAGCCTCTCTTCTAAGGGAGAGGAGTGAAATCCACCTCCCTGCTACCCTGGGAGCTGGGAGAACCATGTCCAAAGGGAAGGTCTGCCTGGTGCTGCTGCTGCTTCTAGGGGCCCTGGTTGCTGTGGTGGTTCTTGCTGTCTTTCTCACTCGACCCTCCTGCACCCCTGGGCTCTACCTGGATGCTGCAGTAGCAGCCGACACCCAGACCTGCTCCAACATCGGCAGGTATGTGAACGGACTTTTCTGCTTTGGGAAGAGTCCTCTCTGAGGGGTCCAGAGGATCGGCCAGCCAGATAGCACTGGGGCTTTTGCCCTGTCTCCCCAGTCCTGGATCTAATGAGTTGTTTGTTTGGAGGCAAAAAAGTTAAGCTTGTACATACCTGCTATTTTTTTTTTAATTCTTCTTTTGCATCTTTAATGTTGCCTGCTTTTTAAGCCAGCTACTGCCAGAAGATACAGATGTTTATGTGGTTGGAACTGGGAGGCGAAGTAGGAGAAATAGGCAGTGCCTTTAATTAACTCCTTCTTGTACAGTATTCAGGAATCTTTGTCAGCAACATTTTTTACCTCAGCTGTGCATTTTCTCAGTGGCGTGAAAACAGAGTGGGGCAGGAGAGAAGAGTGGGCAGTATTTCCTAGGGTGGCTGCATAGCAGTGATTCTCAGCAGCTGCTTGAGCAATCGGTGTTAACTGGGACCACAGCAGCATGTAGGGACACGTGGAGTTAACATGTCATGCTATTCATGTAATTCAGTTCCCTGCTTAGTCACAGACATCCTGTGCCTGAGCACTCAGTCAGCACTGCCTGAGCCCCTGTGCCTCAGTGCCTCCCTTATACACCAAGAATGGCCCCAGGCCTCCCAAAGCCAATAAGGTTAAAATCCATTTGATCCTGTGAGGTGCCTGGTAAAGCTGACACAAGGGGAGGTCTCTAGCTCATCCTTCCCATAGTGTACTTCCACACACAGCCTGTCTCTGTCCAGACAGTTCAGATTGGATAAGGAAACCCTTGTCTGTTCAGAACCTGTTGGAGCAGGGTCTCCCCAGGGCTACTGTTGGAGTGCCCTAGTGATACAGGATCCAGGGACAGCAAATGTAATGTCTGAGCTTATTGAAGGGAAGATACGGCGTTTCTAATGTTTCCCATGTACTGCATTTTGTACACACCCAGCTCCTGCTGACATCCCCTGTGGAATCTGCTCTGGATGACAGAAGGGGTTGCCCTGGTTTTTCTGTGACTTGCCCCCAAACTCTCAGTCCTCTAATCCCTCCGTTGGCAGCTGCACCTCTTTCCTGTGTCCTAGAGTCCCAAGTCATTCTTACTGTTCCCGGTATCTACACAGTTGCTGAATCCTATTGCTGCTGCTGCTGCTGCTTCTGCTCTGTCTTGGGAGCCTGCCCTTTCCTTCCTGCACCTGCTATGATAATGCTGTGAGGTGCAGTGTTTCTCACCTTAGTCACCATCTCCTGTCTCCCAAGCTGCTGGAGTCTCCTTCTCCACTCACTTTAAAGGTGCCAGTCCCGTCCCCCTCTTCTCCCACCCTCCAGCTCCTCACATTCATAGTCTCTCAGGTTGTGCACTGCCTCCTCCTGTGCATGGTGACTGTGAGACCTTTTTTTCACGCTGCTTTTACATCCAGAAAAGGCTTCTACAAATCTTTGCATGACAACCAACTACAAACTGCGAGACATGCAGAAGTACACCCCAGGTAAGTACTAGGGCAGTGTGAAATTTCACCAGCCATTTCGTTTCAACACTGTTTCGACTCATTTTGAGGTTGAAACAGCAAAATCAAAATGAAAGGAAACGCCCCGATGTAGTGCCAGGGATGGGGAGTCAGCCTAGCTGGGCTGACTCCCTGTCCCCAGCCAGTGTAGTGAAACATCAAAACAGCCTTACTGTTATGACAAAGCAAAACGGAACACCTATTTTGAATCGAAATGAAATTTGATACAAAAAGTTGTTCCATCCAGACCTCGAAACTGAAGGCAAAACATCCCTAGTTGCATTTCACACAGCCCTAGTTAGTACCTTTGGGCATCAGAATGGGGGGGCATGAAAGGCACCATTCGGAGGGCTCAAGTGCCTCTATGCTAATGCTAAGAGCATGGGAAACAAGCAGGAAGAACTCACACTTCTGTGTGTAGATAGTAAGTTCGATTTAGTGGGGCTAACGAAAACCTGGTGGGGCCCTACCAATGACTGGGCAGTTCACATTGAGGGCTACAGGTTGTACAGAAGGGTCAGAGTAGGCAGGAAAGGGCATGGGGTTGATCTCTATGTAAAGGAGCATTATACATCTACCCTCATCAAAATGGGATCAGAAGAGGAGAAAGTTGAGGCATTGTGGGTTAAGATACATGGAAGTCAAGGGGAAAGGGACTTGGTGGTGGGGGTCTGCTATAGACCACCACACCCAGAGGAAAAGGTAGACTTGGCATTCTTGAGGCAGCTTTCAGAGGCTGTACCGTCTAGGGAGGTGGTTGTCATGGAAGACCTAAACTACCCTGACATCTGCTGGGAGGAGCAGTCTGCCAAATCCAACCGTTCACGTAGGTTCTTAACCTGCATGCAGGACCTTCACCTAACGCAGGAAGTATATGGTCCCACTAAGGGAAATGCCTTACTGGACTTGGTATTGGCTACGGGGGTGGACCTGGTAGGGGAACTGCAGATTTGTGGTCACCTTGGGGACAGTGACCACCAATCAGTCAAATTCACCATACGGCATAGGGTGGGTAAGATAACTAGTAGGGTCGAAGTGCTTGACTTTAGGAAGGCTAACTGCAGTGTGCTTAGGAGCCTAGTCAATGATGCACTGCAAGAGAAGAGTATTGGCAAGATGGGAGTCCAGGAAGGGTGGTTGTTCCTAAAGGAAGCGATTCTTTGGGCACAGAGGGAAACTATCCCAGTACAAGGGAAAAGGGGGAAAGTAGCCAAAAACCTTCCTTGGCTAAGCAGGGGAATCCAGGGGAGCCTAAGGGCAAAAAAGAAGGCATATAGGCAGTGGAAACGGGGAAGCTACCAAGGAGTATACCTACTTGGCCGGCATTTGCAGGGAGGCAATTAGAAAGGCCAAAGCAATGACAGAGCTGAGGCTAGCAACAAAAATTAAAGACAACAAAAAGTCTTTTTTTAAGTATGTAGGGAGTAAAAGGAAGGTGCAGGGCAGCATAGGACCCCTACTGAACAAGGAGGAGCAATTAGTGACAGAGAGGGGGGACAAGGCTGAGCTATTCAATGAGTTGTTTGCCTTGGTGTTCCTGAACAGGGCTCAAGATAAGTCTCCTACTGGGTTCTTAGATGGGCATCAGAGGGACACCAGCCTACCAACTATTGACACTGACTTGGTGCAGAGTCACTTGGATGGACTGGATGTGTTCAAGTCAGCAGGCCCAGATGAGCTGCATCCAAGGGTACCGAATGAATTGGCCGATGTCATAGCAGAACCACTGGCACGGCTGTTTGAGCACTCGTGGCCCTTGGGTCAGGTCCTGGAGGACTGGAAAAGGGCCTATTTTCAAGAAGGGGAGGAAGGAGGAGCTGAGTAATTATAGGCCAGTCAGTCTCACCTCCATCCTTGGAAAGGTCTTTGAACAGATTATGAAGGATCATATTTGTGGGAGTCCAGCAGGAAAATAACGCAGCAGGGAAACCAGCACAGATTTGTAGCAGGTAGATCATGCCTGACCAATCTGGTTTTATTTTATGACAGGGTCACAAAATGCTTAGACTCAGGAGTAGAGGTGGATGTCATTTTCTTGGATTTTAGCAAGGCCTTCAATACGGTATCTCATCCCATTCTCATAAATAAATTAAGAGGCTGTGACAGATGTTTACGTGGTCCGGTGGGTGGCAAATTGGCTTAGCGGTCGCACCCAGAGAGTGGTAGTAGACGGGTCAGTATCAGCCTGGAAGGAGGTGGGTAGTGGGGTCCCACAAGGTTCAGTCCTTGGGCCTGTACTCTTCAATATCTTTATCGGTGACTTGGATGTGGGTGTGAAGTGTACTGTATCCAAGTTTGCAGATGATACTAAATAGTGGGGTGAAGTGCACACTTCAGAAGGTAGAGAACGATTGCAGAGAGACCTGGACAGGTTAGAAAAGTGGGCAGTACACAATAGGATGCAGTACATCAAGGACAAGTGCAGAGTGCTGCACCTAGGGCACAAAAATATCCAGCACATCTACTGGCTGGGAAGTGACCCTCTCAGCAGCACAGAAGCAGAAAGGGATCTCAGAGTCCTAGTGGACTCCCAAGATTAACATGAGTCACCAGTGTGGTGAAATTATCAACAAAGCTAACCACACTTTATCATGCATCAGCAGATGCACAACAAATAGATCCAGGGAGGTGATACTTCCCCTCTGTGCAGTATTGGTCAGACTGTAGTTGGAGTACTGCGTTCAGTTTTGGGCACCGTACTTCAAGAAGGGTGTTGATAGACTCAAGAGGGTCCAGAGGAGGCCACTCATATGGTTAGGGGCTTACAGAACAAGCCCTATGAGGAGAGACTGAAGGACCTGGACCTCTTGAGCCTCTGCTTTACCTTTTGTTTTCCTAATTTCTACCTATTTCCATTCTCACTGACATCCTGCCACACTTTAGTGTCTCTCATTCCTTGGAGTCTCAGAACAGCAGAGACTCCCTATGCCTGAAAATGGTAATTGCACCCAAAAGCATGCTAAGAACTTTTTTCCAACTACTCAGTCTAATAAAAGTTATTACATCTACTCAAAGAGCCCTGCCTAATAAGACTGATTTAATTCTGGCATTTCCTAGCTATTGGATGTGTTCACTTCACAGTCTTAACTACTGTGTGGAATGCACCTTCCAAACGTTTATTTTTTTAAAGGTAAAGCACAGTGTGTTCTCTTGGTTACCCAGCAGAGCCAAGATTCAGGACTCTCCCTCATTTTTATTTGGGCTCTATTGCTTTGCCTTCTGGTTTTCAAGCATTTAGGGTGCACTCAAATTTGGGTTTTCAACTAGTTCTCTGCAGCAGAGAGCCAGCCTCTTTAATGAATCCTGAGATCTCCTGCACCCAAAATGCCAGCAGCTAGGGCTTTCAGATGGGGACACCCAAAACTCACAGGACCCCCAATATAGCTACAAGAGCAAGAGTAGTGTTATGGACTTTCTGTCTCATCCAGTGCCATAGCAACAAAGTTGGGCGCCCAGGGTAAAGCCCACAGCAGCAGCCCTCCCTTGCCCCATGCACAA